TAAATATTTCTTCAAACTTAAAAAGGTAAAAAATTGAAACACAATTAACAAGTTTGAATCACTTCTTGTGCTACATAATTATTTGTGATAATTCTCAACTTCAAGAACAATAGCACTCAGGGTGTGGGGAGCAGCTCGGACTGGACTGAGTTACTGGAATTAAGACTTATTCTATGCATCTGCTCTCCCACAATATGGCGCTGGGAGAGAAGTAAACAGCTTCCGCACAGCTGCCTCCAGTTCAACCAATAAACTGTAGGACTTGCTCCTGATTGGAGAGCAGCGTACTCGGCGTGTGGACAGCCGAGTTAGGATTGGCGGAGGAGGACTATAAAGGAGGAGAGAGACGGCATGCACCAGGAACATCTAAGGGGAACACCTAAGGGGAACACCTGTGCAGCCCCCCGAGAGAACCGGCCGGCGGTGTGCCGCTCCCCTGCGGAAGTGGGGAATGTGGCCAGGGGGAACTGCCCTTCCACAGAGGTGGAAGGGATAGTAGCCAACCCGGGAAGAACCAGCAGCAAACCCGGGGAGGGCCGAGCAGACGAAAGAACAGCGCAGGGTCCTGTGTCGTTCCTCCACGAAGAGGGGGAGCGACACAGGGCTGGCTGCGTGGCACAGCAGGTTAATCTTCTGCCTGTGGCGCCGGCATCCCATATGGGCTCCAGTTTTAGTCCCAGTTTCACCTCTTCCAATCCAGCTCTATGCTATGGCCTGGAAAAGAAGAAGATGGCCCAAGTGCTTAGGCCCCTGCACCCGCATGGGAGACCGGGAAGAGGCACCTGGCTCCTGACTCCAGATCAGTGCAGCTCCGGCTATTGCAGTCATCTGGAGAGTGAACCAGCAATGGAAGACCTTTCTCTCTGTCTCTCCCTCTCACTGTCTATAACTCTACCTCTCAAATAAATAAATAAAATCTTAAAAAAAGAAGAAGAAGAACAGCACTTGAAGTTGTACTGAGTGGGTTGCTTGTTGTCTATGAGCTTCAGTGCATATTGGCCAATGTTTAGATCAGGAAAACATTGTCATTACTATTTTGGCATAAACATTTTTTAAAAGTTTACTTTTTATTTTATTTCTTTGAAAGCCAGGGAGTGAGTAAGTGATAGAGGGAAGGAAGGAGGTAGAGAGAGAGAGAGGTAGTGAGAAAGAGAGAGAGAGAGAGAGAGAGAGAGAAACAGAGAGCTCCCATCCTCTGGTTTGTTCTCCAAATTCCTGCAATGGCCAGAGCTGCAGACCAAAGCTGTGAGACAGGAACTTAATCCATGTATCCCATGTGGGTGGCAAACACCCAAGTACTTGAGCCAGTACCTGCTGCCTACCAAGGCGGGCATTAGCAGGAAGCTGCAATCAGGAGTAGAACCAGACTCAGACTCAGGAATTCTGACAAGGGATGTGGGCATCTCATCTGCTGTCTTAATAGTTGTGCCAAAAACCCACTCCAGCCTAACAGATTTTGATGTGATTTTTCCCAGTGGAGTTCTCTAAAACAGCATCCTTCTCCCTATTATTTTCTGGTAGCATTTGTTGTGTTCCTTATTGTTACTGTGATTAGTAGTTTTGTGATGCTTTTTTTTTTTTTTTTTTTTTTTTTTTTTTACCATGGTAGTAACTGGGCTTACTTTAGTGCACTTTTTGCTACTATAACAGAAAACCAGAGTCTGGACATTCTGCAAACCACAGGAGTTTATTTGGCTATGGTTCTGCAAGCTGGGAAGTCCAGGAGCATGGTGCTCCATCTGGCGAGGCCCTCTGTGCTGTATCATCCCATGATGGAAGAAGAAAGTAAGAGAGGGCCAAACTTGCTTTTACAACACATCCGCTCTTGCACAACTCACCCCCTCCTTAGAGAACAGCATTGATCCACTCATGAGGGCATAGCCCTTTATGACCTAATCAGCTTTTATTTGGCTCCACCTCCCAACACTATTACACTGAGGATTTAGTTTCCAACACAAGAGCCTTGGGGGAAACACTTAAGCCCAGGAGTGTGTGAGGTATACATTGTGGAGTGGGGGTTCTGCTAAATGTGTCAGCGGTTTGGAATATTTGAGATGCACTGCTCTAATGACTGAGTCTAATAAGAATGTCTTTATCTTCATCAGGCATTAAAAATTGGCAAAATCAGGGCTGGTATTGTGGCCTAATGTCATCAAAATGGGTTAGGCTGCTGCATGTGATGCTGCCATCCCTTTTGGGTACTGGTTTGAGCCCCAGCTGCTCCACTTCCAAACCAGCTCCCTGCTAATGCACCTGGGAAATCAGTGGAAGATGACTCAAGTCCTTGGGCCTCTGCACCCATGTGGAGACCCAGATGAGGCTCCTGGCTCCTGGCTTTGGCCTGGCTCAGCCCCAACCATTGCAACCATCTGGGGAGTTAACCAGCAGATGGAGGATCGATCTCTCTCTCTCGCTTTTGCTCTCGCTCTTGCTCTCTCTCTGGCTCTGCCTTTCAAATAAAATGAAATAAAAATTGGCAAAGCCTAATTTTGCATTCTTAGGGAAGATGATGTGGCATCCATTGTAAAGTTGTCAGCAGGCACAGGGAGAGGGAAATTGAAAACCTTCAGTGTATGCACTATAATTCAGAAACAAAGGTGGACGCAAAACTGAAGCAACAATGTTCATTAACTTGTGAATGGATGAACAAAATACGACACAGTCATACAATCGAGCCATCAAAGGGAATGAACTACTGGTAATTGCTCCAACATGGATGGACCGCTAAATCATCACCCTCAGTAAAAGTTGTCAGATACAAAGGATCATAGATATATGACACAATTTATATGATGTTTCATCAAAAGCCAAATCTCCAGAGATAAAAAGCAGATCAGCACTTTCCTGGGTCAAGGGGGAGAATGGGGATTAACTCTTGAGTGAGCATTAGGAGTATCACTGGGCAACAGAACTATTCTAAAAGTGGATTATGGCTCTGGTGTCGAAATTCAGTGAATTCACTAAAAATCACTGGGTTATATACATAAAACCAGTGAACGTTACTATATTTAAATTATAATTCAGCAGCAGCAAAACATTTTTAGATAAAGAAGCTCTAAAGAGGTCTGCTCGCTGTCTTTTTTTTTTTTTTTTGTTCGTTTGTTTTGACAGGCAGAGTGGATAGTGAGAGAGAGAGACAGAGAGAAAGGTCTTCCTTTTTGCCGTTGGTTCACCCTCCAATGGCTGCCATGGCTGGCATGCTGTGCTGATCCGAAGGCAGGAGCCAGGTGCTTCTCTTGGTCTCCCATGGGGTACAGGGCCCAAGGACTTGGGCCATCTTCCACTGCACTCCCAGGCCACAGCAGAGAGCTGGCCTGGAAGAGGGGCAACCGGGAAAGAATCTGGCACCCCAACCGGGACTAGAACCTGGTGTGCCAGCACCGCTAGGTGGAGGATTAGCCTATTGAGCCGCGGCGCCAGCCAAGAGTTGTTTTTAACCTTTCTATGGATGTTGAGTGTAGGAGATGTGACAGTTGTCAAAGGAAGCAGAATGGCACAGCCTAGGAAGAAGGTTTGCCAGTCACATCTCAGCATTCAAAATGCCTGCTGGGGGCCAGTGCTGTGGCGCAGCAGTGGCAACCCATATGGGCACTGGTTCGGGTCCTGGCTGCTCCACTTCCAATCCAGTTCTCTGTTATGGCCTGGGACAGCAGTAGAACATGGCCCAAGTAGTTGGGCCCCTGCACCCGCATGGAGACCTGGAAGAAGCATCTGGCTCCTGGCTTCGGATTGGTGCAGCTCCAGCCACTGCGGCCATCTGGGGAGTGAACCAGTGGATGGCAGACCTCTCTCTCTCTCTCTCTCTGCCTCTGCCTCTCTCTAACTCTGCCTTTTAAATAAATAATGCATTATTTTAAAAAATGCCTGCTGTCCATGTGATTTGGAACTCTGGTACCAGGAAGCTTTGTATCAGAAGTTGTCATGGCCTGGTGGATTTCTCTAAGAAATGTCTGCACTTCAGGACACTTCCCTTCTTCAGTTCAAAGCAAATCCTTTCAACTGGGCTCTGGACCTAATCTCCCACACCTCCTCAGTAACCATGCTTCTTCTGTTATAACTGGCTTCTCCTCCTCACCAACAGCTTTTATATATTAAAAAAAAAAAAATGGGCCGGTGCAGTGGCATAGTGGGTAAAGCCGCCACCTTCATCCCATATGGGTGCCGGTTCGAGTCCCAGCTGCTCTATTTCCTATACAGCTCTCTGCTATGGCCTGGGAAAGCAGTATAAGATGGCCCAAGTCCTTGGGCCCCTATACCCTTGTGGGAGACCCAGAAGAAGCTCCTGGCTCCTGGCTTTGGATCAATGCAGCTCAGGCTGTTGCGGCCCTCTGGGGAGTGAACCAGTGGATGGAAGATCTCTCTTTCTGTGCATCTGTCTCTTTGTAATTCTGTCCTTCAAATAAATAAATAAATCTTCAAAAAAAAAATCCTCCCTCAACTGTATGTTCCCCTCTAGAGACCACCCTCTTTCCTACTCAACTACACTTGAAAGAGTTGTCTATATTAATTGCCTCTTCTTTCTGACCTCCCACTATTTTTTTTTTTTAATTATTATTTCTTTTTAAGCCAGCGCCGTGGCTCAATAGGCTAATCCTCCACCTTGCGGCGCCGGCACACCGGGTTCTAGTCCCGGTTGGGGCGCCGGATTCTGTCCCGGTTGCCCCTCTTCCAGGCCAGCTCTCTGCTATGGCCAGGGAGTGCAGTGGAGGATGGCCCAGGTGCTTGGGCCCTGCACCCCATGGGAGACCAGGAAAAGCACCTGGATCCTGGCTCCTGCCATCGGATCAGCGCGGTGCGCCGGCTGCAGCGGCGGCCATTGGAGGGTGAACAAACGGCAAAAGGAAGACCTTTCTCTCTCTGTCTCTCTCACTGTCCACTCTGCCTGTCAAAAAAAATAAAAAAATAAAAAAAAATTATTATTTCTTTTTTTTTGACAGGCAGAGTGGACAGTGAGAGAGACAGAGAAAAAGGTCTTCCTTTGCTGTTGGTTTACCCTCCAATGGCCGCCACGGCTGGCGCGCTGCGGCCGGTGCACCGTGCTGATCCAATGGCAGGAGCCAGGTACTTAGCCAGGTACTGGTCTCCCATGGGGTGCAGGGCCCAAACACCTGGGCCATCCTCCACTGCCTTCCCGGGCCACAGCAGAGAGCTGGCCTGGAAGAGGGGCAACCGGGACAGAATCTGGCGCCCTGACCGGGACTAGAACCTGGTGTGCCAGCGCGGCAAGGTGGAGGATTAGCCTAGTGAGCCGCGGCGCCAGCCCTCCCACTATTTCTTAACTATTTGCAGTCTGGATTCTTCAGTCTGCACAAGATTGCTCTTGCCAAATCTTCATTTTTGCTAAATGCAATGGAAACACCTCCGTTTTTGATGCATGAGACGTCTTTCTATTTTCAAACTATTGATTGCTCTCACCTTGAAATGTTCTCTTCCCTTACCTTCTATGTTACTCTTGTTTTATCACATATTGTATGGATATTTCTTTGGATTCTATTATTCTATTTATCTCTTAATATTATAATTTGTTATTCTCTACTATTCTATATTTGTCTCATGTCTCACCCCTATTCACTCATCACTATTCCTTTCCCATAGCTTCATTTAACATCTTATCTGCATGCCTACATCACACTGTACTTGCCAATAATCTATATGTTCAGTTTAGATATATTGCTTGAGATTAAAACCTATATTATCTAATGACATATTGATCATTTTTGTGGACATCTTACAATCACCTTAAATTCAACATATTCAAAATCTTTTTGAAAAAAAGATTTAGTTATTTATTTTAAAGGCAGAATTACAGAGAAAGAGAGAGAGAAAGAGAGAGAGAGAGAGATTGATCTTCCATCTGCTGGTTCACTCCCCATATGGCTGCAATGGCCGGAGCTGGGCCAGTCTGAAGCTAGGAGCCAGGGGCTTCTTCTGGGTCTCCTACAAGGATGCAGGGGCCCAATGACTTGGGACATCTTCCACTGCTTTCCCAGGTGCATTAGCAGAGAGCTGGATCAGAAGTGGAGCAGCCATGACTGGAATCAGCGCCCATATGGGATACCAGCACTGCAGGAAGTGGCTTTACCTACGATACCCCGGCGTCGGGCCCTATATTCAAATTGCTAACTACTCATAATCTCTGGAAAAGCGGCCCCATGCCATATAGCTCTCATTACTCAGACAGATGTCCTTTCAGGAGCCCGAACTAGAGACCAGAAATCGTTATTCTCAAGTCCTCCCTCCCTCTTCCTTTCCACATTCCATCAGTCAGAAAGTGTTCACTGTCACATGGGTCTCTATGATTAGTAAATCTTTGGGAGAGAGACCTGGTGAATATTGAATATTGTCTTTTTCCAGAGTTCAGAAGTCAGGTGGCTACAAGACTTGGAGATGGCATTAAAGATGGCTTTAGCAAAGTTGTTCAAGAAGCGGTGCAGCTCCTGGCAGAAGCAGTGTGGTTCCTGATGTCAATCAGCAGCAGCAGCTCCTTGGACAGAAGAGCAAAGGGATGATGTCAATTCACTTAGAGACAGGAATAAAATGTACCCCAATGAGACTCAGCAAGAGAGCGTTGCCTGGCAAGAATGAAGTGCTGAGGCCGGCATTGCAGTGTAGCAGGTTAGGCTGCTAGCAACTCATATGGATGCTGGTTCTGGTCCTGGCTGCTCCGCTTCCCATCCAGCTCCCTGATAATGCACCTGGGAAAGCAGTGCAAGATGGCTCAAGTGCTAGGGCCCCTGTACTCACGTGGGAGATTCGGATGAAGACTGGGCTCCTGGCTTCGGCCCGGCAAAGCCCCAGCCATTGTGGCCATTTGAGAAGTGAACCAGCAGATTGAAGACCTCTCCATCTCTCCCTCTTGCTCTGTAATTCTGCCTTTCAAATTAAAAATAAAGTGCTGCTGGTCTTGTTCTCCCAGTAACCTCTTCTTCTCAGAGAATTAAGATACCTTAGTCAGGGTGATGGCAGCTTGCTGGCAGTACTTTGACTGCCAGAACAAACCAATGACTACAAACACCTTCATGCATCAATGCCCCAGTTTGCTTAAAAATGGACAAGGTCTTCAGGGTCTTCCTAGGACAGAATGAAAAAAGGTTCAGACTCCTTATGGGCAGGAAGAGAGCTTCTTTAGGGCGGAAACCCTATGTCCTTGGCCAGGTAGCCTAGCTTGTGTCCCAAGGACAACAACTCCCTGTACTAGGCTTCCCTCCAAGACCCTGGCCAATACTGCTGAAGGTGTCTGCAAATTGCCTTGGTGCCTGACTCCCTCTTCCTTCCCAGGGCATCAGAATCCAATCACAAGAGCAGTGTCTTCATCTGCTATTTGGGTTTGTTCTCCCAAAAGCAAAAGCCCACTTCATGTCCCCCCTGTGTTACTTCAGCTGCTTCCTCACTAATTTTTCTACACTAAGTATTATCCTGTCCCTTTATATTTCTCACCTAGCCTTCTTTTTTTTTTTTTTTATTTTTTGACAGGCAGAGTGGACAGTGAGAGAGAGAGAGACAGAGAGAAAGGTCTTCCTTTTTGCCGTTGGTTCACCCTCCAATGGCCGCCGCGGCCGGCGCGCTGCGGCCGGCGCACCGTGCTGATCCGATGGCAGGAGCCAGGATCCAGGTGCTTTTCCTGGTCTCCCATGGGGTGCAGGGCCCAAGCACCTGGGCCATCCTCCACTGCACTCCCTGGCCACAGCAGAGGGCTGGCCTGGAAGAGGGGCAACCGGGACAGAATCCGGAGCCCCGACCGGGACTAGAACCCGGTGTGCCGGCGCCGCTAGGCGGAGGATTAGCCTAGTGAGCCGCGGCGCCGGCTCACCTAGCCTTCTTTCTTCACATTGATATCTAAGACATCTTTTGTTGAGGTTGATTTGTTCTGAGAGGAGGAGTGTGGTGGGGGCAAGAGGCGCGGAGTCACCACACAGACCCTGGGAGTCAGGTGAAAGCAAGCCAGAGGCGAGCAGCCTGCAGACTCATTTATTTTAGTTGCTACAGCAGCTTATATGGCCAAGACAGCCAATCTGGTCAAGGGGCAGTCTATGCCCTAACCAATCACACCCTGTTGCCAGGCAGTTTCCGAAGCCATCCAATCACAGCCTGTTGCCAGTCAGGCTCTGTTGCCAGGCAGTTTCCGAAACCATCCAATCACAGCCTGTTGCCAGGCAGTTTCTGTTGCCAGTGGCCATCTTGGCATGGCCTTCTCATTCTACCACAATCTTTCATCTTTATTTGAGAGAGAGAGAGAGATAGAGAGAGAGAGAGAGACAATGAATGAATGGAGTAGGGGCAAGATTTTGAGAGACAGAGAGCGAGCTTCCATCCACTGGTTCACTCCCCAGATTCCTGCAATGGCCTGTGGGTATGGAGTTGCAGGAACCAGGAGCCAGAGCTGGAGCTGGAGCTGAGCCAGGAACTGAACCCAGATGCTCCAGTGTGGGATGCAGGTGTCTTAACTGCTAGGCCAAGTGCCCAGCTCCCCAGCATATCTTTCTAAAATCCAACGCTGATCATGTCGTCTTCCTGCTTAAAATCCCTAACATCAGAATGAATTCCAGATGAATTCTAGATTCCTTAGTATGGCAAACCAAGTCTCCCATGACTTCATGTCTGCTCATCTCTCCCTAGCCTTAACATATGACTCTCGGAACTCTGCTCAGAGCCTATGAACTAGGGGCAGTTCCTCACATGTTCTGTTTTTCCAGTTCTCTGCTATGCTTTGGCACATGGCTGCCTCTCCTGACCTGGAAAGACTTCATCCTTCAGGATTCAGCTCAGACACTGCCTTTGATGGGAAGTTTTTCTTTGCCCTCAGGTTTGTATGAGACGTCCCTCCTTTGGGCTCCCTTCTGTACAAACCATTTATTCCACTGTTAGGCAATCCTCCACTTTTCGTATTTACCTCTCCTTGCACTGACAAACCTCTGAGACTTGGGATGGCATTTTCACTTTGTATTCCCAAAGTTGCACATATAAAATATTCAATACATTTTTCAAATATGAATTGGGGCAGGTGTTTAGCCCATAGGCTAAATGCCTGTGTCCCATATGGGACTACGTGGATTCTTTTTTTTTTTTTTTTTTTGACAGGCAGAGTTAGAGAGAGAGAGACAGAGAGAAAGGTTTTCCTTCCATTGGTTCACCCCCAAAATGGCTGCCACGGCTGGTGCACTACACCGATCCGAAGCCAGGAGCCAGGTGCTTCCTCCTGGTCTCCCATGTGGGTGCAGGGCCCAAGCACTTGGGCCATCCTCCACTGCACTCCCAGGCCACAGCAGAGAGCTGGACTGGAAGAGGAGCAACCGGGACAGAATCCGGCGCCCCAACCGGGACTAGAACCCAGAGTGCCGGTGCGGCAGGTGGAGGATTAGCCAAGTGAGCCGTGGCGCCGGCCTACATGGATTGTTGACATCAAATTCTGCTAGTGCAGATCTTGGGAGGCAGTAGTGATGGCTCAAGTGGTTAAGTTCCTGCTGCCCATGTGGTAGACTTGGCAATAGTTCTTGGCTCCTGAATCCAGTCTTGGGCCAGCCCCGCCCCCGTGGAAATTTGGGGGAGTGAATCAGCAAATGGGAGTTTTGTCTGTCTCTGTGCCTCTCAGATAACACCAGCAAAAGGCATCAATGATGCATAGAACAATGGAAGACTGAAGAATACAGGAACGAATAAAACAGAGCTTGTAATTTCCCCCTCTTTGTAGTAGCTCAAGAAGACGGGAGTCAACTTTCCTTTGGGGGAGAGGTCCAGACTTGTTGCCCTAAATTACTCCTACACAGTAAAATGGCTACAAAGGAGGTTGTTCCATTGAAGTTTATCCCAGTGAACACCAACGGGATAACTTCTGATCCTTCCTTTGTTCCCACATTTAATGAAACTGCTGTCAGTTAGTTTATAGAAACAATTAGCATCCAAGTTTCAGACTGCCCAGAGATAAACGCCTTGGTATTTGGATTGTTACTCCCTCTTCCCTATGAGAGCAGGCAATCAGGAAAGAAACTGACAAGAAGTGAGTTGTTTCCCAGGGCGCCGCGTTGATTAATGCTGCACTTTCCTTTTGCACTTATCCATCAATGTACACCACAGTGCACGTATGGCATTAGCATATCATCATCCCAGAATAGCATTTCTTTCTAATTTTATCACTTGATTATGATTCAGTGTTTATTTCTAGTTTGGTAAACAGGACATGAAAACATGTCAAACTAAATAAAATTGGCAGATGATTTGCTTTTAATGCATAAACAACTGCTCTTCTCCCCTGAAGTGAAATTTAATTTTTCTGGAAAAATTCAAACACACTTTGCAGTTTTTGATAATATTCCAGAATTTGAGATACACAGGGTAAAAGCACATCTTAATAACTTTGTTTTTGCTTGAGAAGATGTTCACGCTTTCCAGAAGGACATCAAGTAAAAAGTGTCCTTTCCTTAATGTCATACCCTCTCCTTTAACAGCACTTCCCACCAAAGACTCTAACCACGTGCATGGTTACGCATGTGCACCTGCGCACACACATATCATTTCACACAGATGTGATAATTGGGTCTAAGCCTTATTCTTTTCATTTGGCATACCTTAGATATATTTTTTTTGACAGGCAGAGTGGATAGTGAGAGAGAGAGACAGAGAGAAAGGTCTTCCTTTTGCTGTTGGTTCACTCTCCAATGGCCGCCACGGCTGGCGTACTGTGCTGATCCGAAGGCAGGAGCCAGGTGCTTCTCCTGGTCTCCCATGGGGTGCAGGGCCCAAGCACTTGGGCCATCCTCCACTGCACTCCCGGGCCACAGCAGAGAGCTGGCCTGGAAGAGGGGCAACCGGGACAGAATCCGGCGCCCCGACCGGGACTAGAACCCGGGGTGCCGGCGCCGCTAGGCGGAGGATTAGCCTAGTGAGCCGCAGCGTCGGCCCCTTAGATATTTTTAAAAGTAATTTTTAAAAAAGGTTTATTTATTTTATTTGAAAGAGTTACACAGAGAGAAAGAGAGAGAGGTCTTCCATCTGCTGGTTCACTCCCCAGCTGGCCACAACAGCCAGAGCTGCACCAACCCGAAGCCAGGAGCCAGGAGCTTCCTCCAGGTCCCCCACGCGGGTGCAGAGGTCCAAGGACCTGGGCTATCCTCTACTGCTTTCCCAGGCAATAGCAGAGAGCTGGATTGGAAGTGGAGCAGCCGGCACCTGAACCAGTGTCCATATGGGATGCCAGCACTGCAGGCAGCGGCTTCACCCACTACACCACAGCGCCGGCTCCAGCCTTAAATATTAAATTCAGTATGTACCTATACTCTCATCTCTCCCTTTTTAATAGCTATAGCTTTGATGGTTATTCATGGATGCATCTTTTCTTTCTTTCTTTTCTTTTTTTTTTTTGATAGCAGAGCATTTTTAGTAACTTGGATTACTTTTAGTTTCTCTCAGTTATCAAAAGGTAAAATGAACATGTTTTAAATAAATATAAAATTTTCGTGTGCTTGGACAAGTATATGTCTAGTGTTAATT